GAAGGATGGGGGAGTACTGGGGACCGGCGGTGGGGTCGGGGTCTAGGGGTGGAATGCCTGACTCAGGGTGCGGTGCATGGGGTGTGGATGGGTGGCGGGAGCCGCCCTTCTGCCGGGCGGGCCTTGGAAACCGGTCTCCCCGGCTGCTTCCTCCGCCCTTTAGTGTCCCCAAAGCAGGTGCCGCATCCCCGCCAAGCGAGGCCCAGGTGACATAGCCGCTCCTGCTCCCGGGCACTCTCCCCTGGGTGGTCTGGAAGGAGGTGCTTTATGGATTAGGAGCTCTTGCTTACTGACTCTGGCTTCCACGAAACCTCACCAGAGCCCCGTGATGTCAGTTGTCATCTTCCTGTTACTGATGGGGTACTCTGACTTTCATGGCGCCTAAGTGACTTGCTCAAAGTTAGAACTGCCAGGAATGACAGATGCTCTGCTTGAACCCGGGCCTCTGACTTACACAACTACAACTCTGGTTTCACTTTAACCATGACGAGGATGAGGCCTGTTGGATCCCAGCATAACCTGTGACAGGGCAGAACAAAGACATTTTCTGCCCAGTGGTGGCCACAGGTGAATGGTGCGGTGAAATAAAAGTAGACAGGCACGTGGTGGAGTTGCAGCATAAAATGGTGTATTATTAGACTACTGGAAGGGGTTTCTGAACCATTCATCTTTAGGGCGTGGGCTTCTGCAGAAACTAAGACCATATTTAAATTCATAACTTCTATGATGCAGGTAGCATCGGTGGCCACCCAGTACAACCTGATTATCTGGTGACCTTCCAGAAATGGACATCATTTAATTTGTAGGCCATTTTTGAAAATAGATAAGGACCTTACTTTAAGGTAAAATGATCATTTTAATAGGGTCAGTTGTGAGACCTGTTTTCATGATATATTCCTAATTATTTAGGGTATTTTTATTCTTTTGTTGTTGGGGAATTATCTGGTGTAATTAAATGAGTTGAAACTATTTTAAATCTGTACTCAAGATGAGACTTATTTTTAGAATTTACTTGCTTTTGAACTAATTTTAAGTTGTGCAGTGGGATTTACAAACCCGATATCATAAAGCACCTAAAAATATCTCCATAGAAACAAAGCATGTATTACCTGAAGTGTTTTGGTTTAGACTGCAATCTTGTCACATAGCCTAGTTCTCTACTCTTGGACACTTCCTTGTCATTAATACTTGCTTTTTTTTTTTGCAAAGCATGGGCTGGTTTTATTTTCCAACAGAATCTTTTTTTAATATAAAACAAAGATAAAATACTTGCTTTTAACTCGAGACTGTATCAAACTTGTATCTCCACAGGAAAGACTAAGTTGCCAGACCTATTATGTATTAAAGTGACATTAATTTGGAATGATCAAGTATTTTCATAACCTTTAACTTAGGAAAGCCACATTTTTGCCAAGCATAAGTTAAAAAAAATAGAAAATTATCTATTCAGCATTTTTTTCTCATGATCCACCTCATTCTCACTTAGCTGCAACCATATGCTGTGTACTGATAACACATACATCCTTATATCCACCTTCTGCTATTTCCTGAGCTTTACAATACAATGATCCTCAATCTCAGATGTTCATCAGAATTACCAGTAAAGCACTTTAAAAAAAAAATGTAGTTGCCCAGGCTTTGTCTCAACATAATGCATCAAAATCTCCAGGGAGGTAGGTGGGGAAAGCATTTTGCGATTTCAGAGGTGATCAGGGTGGGATTAGTAGATTCAGCAGACTTGCTGCCCCTTTTCACTGTGGTCTCCTGTCACTAACACCTGTCTAGGCCAGCCTAGGGTATTCTGTGTAACATCATAGTCTACCAGGAAAAGGACGTCTGTGTTGAAAGCAACTTTATCTTTTGTTCTCCCTCTTTAGGTTGGCTTCAATGCTGATGAAGCCCACAATATTGTTAAGGAGGTGAGTTCTATATCTTGTTCATCTTAAAGGCTCATGCATTGATTGAAATTTTTAAAAGCTGTGTTTTGACTTTCAGTACAAAGTTAGAAACCTTGGTATTAAAACAAGATTTTTAATAGTTACTAATTCTTTATAGGGGTGTGTCTATGTTGTGTTGGATGCTGTCGGGCATCTTGGGGCTTAGTCTGAAAGTGATGTTTAAGTACTGGTCTAGAAAACTGGTTTGCTGTTTTCTAAAATTGATTCTCTGTCTTTTGAATAAAAGAACTTGTATTCCATGGGTCAACTATTATTTTAAGAGGGGAAAGTATAGCTCAGTGGCAGAGCACATGCTTATCATATACAAGGTCCTGGGTTCAATCCCCAGTACCGCCATTAAAAAAATAAATAAATAACCCTAATTACCTCCCCCCTGCAAAAAAAAACAAAAAAATTTTTTTAATATTATTTTAAATGTTAATGCTGTAAAAGTGTATAGGTAAATTATATGTATAGAAGAAATTATATGTGTATAGGTAAATTATATGTATAGTATAATAAACATATAATTGTAGTATATACATATATATATCAAGTAAATAAAAGACCCTAGAAATATCTGCTTTGGGTTATTATATGCTTTTTTTACGCTCAATATAATTGGAAAAATAATCCCTTAACACCTTTTAGACACATATGATAGTAAATCAAAATCTTAAGAACAATATTTGAAACATGACATCTGGTCCTCGTGTTAGGCAAATACACAAGATGTTCTCTTTGGGAATCAATTCTGGCAGAGGAACTTTAATTATTCTAGTGGTATCACAACCAGACTACACTGTGGGTAAGGTATTTATGAACAATTTTAATAGTCCTGAGTCATTTTTAACTGCCAAATCCGAGAGAAAAATGAGCTGGCCCAGAAGGCAGGCTTGTATTGCGGGAATGGCTGTTGGGGTCTGTGTCCTAACAGGCTCTGCCTACCTTTTGGCTTGGCTGGATTGGCCCGCCCCTCTGTGCACTGAACACCTCATCAGTCCATCCTGAGACATTGCCTTACCTGCCTGAATGCTCAGGGCATGAGCTCACCCGGAACTCACCCTGGGCTGGCCTTGTACAACTAGGATCAACCTGAGGTCTGAGAGGGCTGGATATGCACCTGAAAATCCTGCAAGGGATGGAGGTCATGGGACGGGCAGGATGATGACAGCCTCATTTTTCAAAGTGGAAAGTCAAGACAGACTGTCCTTGGTGGTTGGGAAATGAAGAAAAGGATGCTGGGGTATTTGAGGAGTCTTTTAAATGATACCTTCTTTACCCATGTTCCGAACCAAATGAAAAGACCAAAGAGTCAGTAGAAAGAGAACAAAACATCGCAGTTATTATTGATAAAGACTGGGTTGGAGATTGGAGCTCGTTTTGCTAACTCCCTACCTGGTCAATTCAGACGTTGGAAAAGGCATCCAAGGGAAAATCTGAGTCAGCAGAAAGAAACTCTTAGCCAGGCTGGTGCCTTTCATTGGTCTGGGTGGAGGGAGGAGGAGCCAAATACCCATGTCCAAGGCATTGGGAGATGGGCTATCCCAGATGAGAAGGGTGAAACAATGGTTGTCACCCACCAACCGGCAGCTCGCTCCACCCCCATGGAGAGGAAAAATAACAGGTGGGACAAAAGGCCAGGGATGATAAGGAAAAATGCTCTGTGCAGAAGGAAACATCTGGAATAGAAAAGAAGCATGCTCCTAATGGTGTAAATATACTGAAGTAAAAAGAGTGAATTCACTGCACTGAGGGAAGTAGGGGATGGGGGCAGAGGTAGGAGTTGGCAGGTGGTCTCAGAGAACTAAATTTTCATCTATCATAGCAGGAGCTCTAAGGATGTTGTGTATAATTCATAAATCAAGAACTCGTGATATAAACACTTGCCGACATATAAGTGACCCTTAAGAGGTAAAAAACAGTTGTACCCCAAAGCTGTTTCCTCTGGGGAAGGAGACTGGGGATGGAAACAGGTAGGGATGGGATTCTTGCTTTTCATTGTAAGTTCTTCTATTCTGTTTGATTTTTAAAACCAAAGGCATGTATTACTTTGATAGTTTATTCAGTTAAAAGAACCATGCTTCTTAAAATGCGATACACATACTTGACGGTGGCTAGGTGGTCCTAAAAGCCACTGGGTGCGTTTTAGAGCATCAGTTTTGCTTACCTCCTTGCATGAGAGAGTTAAGTAATATAAATAATTTAACACCATTTTAAAATAAAAATAAACTGATACATTATGGAGTCAAAAGCCAGCTTCATGTGAAATGTTCATATGAAATCTGAGACTTCAAAGACATGTCAGGTTTGCCACAGGTGGCTTTCAGCTACCTGTCTATTCTCTTCCCTCCCCTCTGTCCCTGTGAGCCATGTCTCTTTGCCACTGAGGCATTAGAAAGGCTTTGAGAGAGAGAGAGAGCATGCGCGCACCATGTGAAAACTTTTCAGCACTTCCCAGATGATTGTATAGTTTCAGCAGGCATTTCTGTTTCTCTTTGGCTGATCTCCTTATTTTCTTTCCTTACATTCCTTGCTCTGAGTTCCTGTACTTATATATTTTTTCCTGCTGAAGTCTTAGAGCCACTCACCTATCAGTGATATGTATGTATTTTATTTACTGTCAATAAAAGAATTTGCCCAGAAACAAATTTTCACTGAAAAAGTGAGTTACAAATAGAATTAACTTGCAGCTTAATCTAACATGTATTTGATTCAGGATACCCAGAGAGTATACCAAAGCCAGTTACTACCTCAACGTCAAACATATATTGTGTGCCTGCTACGTGTCCAGGCCGAGTTTGGCCCTGGGACCACAGAGCAGGTTAAAGACCTCATTATCTAGTATCCTGGTTAATGGTAATTAAGAAGGCTAAATGTTAATGAATAGTCATTAGCAGGGCTATTTACAGTGGGGTCCACAGGCCCCTGATGTTTCTGTTGTTTAGAGGAGAACTGGAAAGGAAACGAGCGCCCCTAGTTTCCCATGAAGGAAAGGCAGTCTCGGGGGAGGAAGAAGTTTCCCAAAGGCTGTCAGCTTGGGAATGGTAAAGCCAGAATTAAAACCCTGCTCCCCTGACCTTGGGCCACTGACTCTCCTAACTCTTCATGCTACTGAACATTCCAGGGTAATAATTTGAGCTACGTTATTGCCTTCAACCCCTCTAAATTTAATGTCTCTTTCTACATTTTATGATTAGTGAAGATTTTATACTATCCAGCTTAAGATTCCATAGTAGTTAGTGCCTTTATGAACCTTTACTATAGTACAATTGTAGTAAATGAAAGCTGCCTGCATGTGCTTGTGTGAGTGTGTGTATGTGTCTGTCTTATTAAGCTGGATTCTATAAATAAATTGAATGAGTGTCTTACTCTCCAGGCTCTATCACTTGAATAAAAAATAATAGAAACAAAAAAAGTCAGAGAAAGGCAAATACTGTATGATCTCACTTATATGTGGAATCTTAAAAAAAACAAACTTACAGAAACAGAAAGTAGAATGGTGATTGCCGCAGGGTGGGGAAATGTTGGTCAAAGGGTGCAAACTTCTAGTTATAAGATGACTAAGTTCTCAGGAGCTAGTATACAGCATGGTGACCATAGTTAACAACACTGTATTGAAGGTTGCTGAAAGTAGATCTTAAGTGTCCTCACCAGACACACACGGTAACTATGTGAGGAAATGAATGTGTTAACTAACCTCATTGTGGTAATTGTTTCATGATATAACATGTGACAAATCATCACGTTGTATACCTTAAACTCACACAATGTTATATGTCATTTATGTCTCAATAAAACTGGAAAAAATAAAATAACAGCAGCAATCATGATGATGACGGTGATGATACCTATCATTACTTATATGCCTACTCTGCGGCAGTGACTGTGTATGAGCACATGGCATTCCTTATCTCACCCCATCCTCCCAACAACTTGATAAGATGAGGCTGTTATCCCTACTTTAAGGATAAGGAAAATAGGGGCTTCAAGAGATTAAGTCACTTGCAAAAGGTCACACAGCGAGGAGGTGGCAGAGGTGACCATGAATCTACAACTGTGATACTAAACGAGTGCTCCTAAACAAGCTTCAGAAGTGGATGAAAGTAAGCACTGTGGAATATTCTTTAACTTCTTCTAGAGCACCTGAAAAGTAGTGTTTGCTGATTATTTACTTTTAGTGGCAAGTGTGTTCATTGTTTTATAGCTAAGCAGTTACATAATATAAATGAGGTTATAATTATTGTACATGAGAAATATATTTCAAAATTGGTTTCATCCTTTGTTTCTAGCATCTGAAACCTAGTTCAAATCCCAGCTGTTTCAAAGCCATTCTTTAACCAACTGATAGCACCCTTTTAAAATCTCCACCCCCATAATCCTTTTATGACATGGCTTATCACCCTTGATTAGTCTTCCTCGTGTTATAGAGTTCTTTTATTAGCTTCTCTCTTAGATTGTTAAGTTCTTTACAGTAGAGGCCATGTCCCAGTTATCTTTATATGGCCCATAATGTCTCACAGAGTGAGAGAATGCATGCGGAAATGCTTTGAAAATTCTAAAACAGTTAGCGACAATGCAAAATATTTACCAGGTGCATATTTTCTAAGATGTTTTATTGGGTTATAAATGTATTTTATTTTTTGCTGCAGTGTATGTATAGTTTGTATAATTGTCCTCTGCCTTTTTAGTGTATAGATGGAGTCTTGGGAGGTGAAGATTATAATCAGAACAACATTAACCAATGGACTGCAAGCATAGTGGAACAATCCTTAGCACATCTGGTTAAGCTGGGAAAAGCTTATAAGTATATTGGTAAGTATCAGCGTCCTCCTTGCTAGTTTACTCACTTTCGTCCATGTGGTTTCTCTGAATTTAGAGAATGTAAATGAGTGATAGACACTCACGTTGGATACTAATAGGGTATGAAGGACTTCTGACTTACTTATCCAAAGATAATCTATGATAATACTTAAAAGATGGAGATCTTTTGCTACTCAAAAGCAGTTTGAGCTCCTGCCAACCATCTACTTGTCTTTGGTAGCATCATCTGTTACATTTGCATCACTTATCTCTTTCCTCTGAAACTCCCTCACCCTGTCTTCCTTTCAGTAGCCCCATGCCTTCTCACATGTAGGACTTTGAAGTGCCAAGCAATGATTGTAAAGTGGAATCTTTTCTTTGTTTCTGTGTCTGAATTGTGCCCATGGGACAAGGCACATAATTTGGCCCAGACTTTTCCTGCAATACAATCACCATTGTTTTGGCACGGGGGCAACAGACAGGCTTTATGCAGTGGGGTCAAAATTGTGGTGGTAGATCACTGAGGCAAGAGACTTATTTTGGCTGAATGCTTTCTTTTCTGTTATTTTTTAAATAGCTTTTAGAGTTCTGAGCTCAAACAGTTATCTTTTCCTTTGTAATTGTTCTCACTCAGCAACTTTATTTTTAGTGACCTGTGCAGTGGTTCAGAGGAGTGCATATGGCTTTCACACAGCCAGCTCATGTTTTTGGGACACCACATCTGATGGTAAGAGACTTTAAGCTGATCCAAACAAAATCCAGCTTCTAGCAAAGTCACATAGTGCACTTATTATCAGATTCTTATTTATCTCTAATTAAATCCTCATAAGAATTTATCAACAGAATTACTTTGTACCTAGTAACAAGTATGCCTTCAGACAAATATGAAATGCAAAGATTTAACAGGTTCCAGGAAATAAGATATTAAAACCTTTGAAAAAATGTATATATATTCCCTGGTAATTTTGATGTTTTGCTGGTATTTCAAAGTCCTTTTTTTTGTGTGTGTGTTTTCAGGAACCTGTACTGTAAGATGGGAGAACCGAACCATGAACTGTATCGTCAACGTGTTTGCCATTGCTATTGTCCTGTAACAGGCTAAAAATGTTCGGCCAAAGCCATTAACTTAAGAATTTGTCAGTGTATCCTTTCTAAAAAGAGTAACAGTTCCTTGTTAATGTGCTAGATGACAAGTGTGCAATATGCTTCAAAACTATCAACAAAAACTGACTAGTACAAGCAAGCAATCTCATAGTGGGCAGATTATCTCATATTCTATACAGCATCATTTAAATAGAAAAATTTAATGTTAGCGAAAATCAAATGCAGAAATATGGCATGACTTGACAATACAATCTTATATTTACACTGGCTTTTCACTAACTATATGTACCTAAGGAGATGGGGAAATCCATTCAGATGCTTAAATTCTCTTTCAGCGAGAAAAATTAACAGGAATAAATATATGAGCAAAAAAGCTGCAAGGATAAATGTGGAGGAAAATGGTAATAGTCAGTTAACACTTCTTAGCTTTTTATTTCTTTGCCTCACTTAGTTGTACACATGATTTAGTGGAAAGTAATTCCATTCCTTTTTTTCTATCAGCTAATATTAAAGTAGCAACTATTATTAACTTGTTTACATTTTCTGAGAATTGTTGAATCAGTTTTTAAAATGTCAGATTCTTGGATTTATATTAGAGGGCAAATTAAACCTGGTAACGTGAATTCCCCAATTAAACAAAATAGTTACAGTGTATGATGAAAGTATATGACTCTAACAGCTGCCTTACAGTTCACTCATTCCATGTGGAACAAGTATTTATTGAATGCCTATTATGGGCTGTTTCTCTGCTAGGCATTGTAGTTATCAGTATGCTGTTCAAATTCTAAGTTCCTTTTGGTACCTGTTGAGTTGAATAACTAACATTTATGTTTGGGGAAGGAAAAAAAAAGTTGTTTTACAAGAGAGGCAAAAAGTGAATCTGGCTATCCAGATAGAAGTAAGCAAATGAAAAGCACTTACTGCTGACAGAATTATAGATGTAATTTTAAGACTTGCTCCTAGCAAGCAAAAAAAAATGCATAAAATATGCAACTTGTAGTTAAAGGCCTTATTAGCAGTCTAATTTACAAATAGTACATTTTTGTCATTGCTTTAGTTACAATCTTCTGTAAATAATAATTTTAAATACTTATTATGCGGGGTTCAAATTGAGTGGAGTCAAATATAAATTAAAAGTACACAATCATTAGCAGGTTATTGAATATCTCAGGGCTTATGAAATATAGTTAAATTTATTAAGAAAATAAAAGATGAAAAATTAGGGTACACAGCTGGCCACCAAATGTGAAGTCAATACACTAGTTAGTCTTGAAAACAAAATCAGTTTTGCATATTACCACTAACACTACTACATATAGGGAGTGGAACCATGGTTCACTGAATTCTGGGGGGAAAGAAAAGCTTAGTACTGACAATATTAAGATAGTATTCTTGTAGGAATACTATGTGCATGTTGGATATTTTGCTGAGTAACAGTAATTGTTGAATGTTTAAGAAGAATATTAAGAAAATACAAGGAGGGTTTAATGCAGTGATCTACATTTTGGGCAAAAATTCTCAGTCATCACCTTTATGTTATTTTACACTGCTGGCTTTTGTGCCCTTGAAGATTATAATAGTGACCAAAATGTCTGTGCAGCTAAGGCTTGTTTTTGTTTATTGTTATTGAAGCCTGATTTTAAAAGAATAATAATCAAATATACCTCGTGAACTTGCTATCTGCTCTATTTCTAGTTAAAATATAATAAAGATTATCTTCCTGCACTGTACGTTTGCTTCTGGATGATCATTGAATAGTTAAAGAAATGGCATTCTCTTTACTCTAAGAAATTCTAAATAAGAGGAATGAGGAAGAGAAATGAATGTCAGACCACATAGCTATATTGTACAGAATAAATGCCATTAAAATAGCAACCCGAACCCAGTATTCACCATTACAACATTAATAATAGCTCCTATTTTATGCCTTTTATTTTATGATTTTTAACACAAATTTTTTTTAAAGTCAGTGTAAAATATATTCTGTAACTATTAGCTTTTAATGACTATTTTTGGCAAGGAATTTTGTCCCTATTTGTCAACTTGCAATTGCGTTGTTGCTGTTTTTTTTTTAATTAAGGACTTTAAGTATGTAAAATTAGGGTATTCAGATGTAAGTACTAACTCGCATTTTTGTAAAGCTATAATTTTATGTTTGTAAAGCACCAGTATACAGCCTAAATGATGGCAACATCTCATTACATTTTCTCTGGTAAAAAGTACTTTTTTGCTCTTATTTCCAAGTTGGGTGTTACCTAATTATGAGTCACTGAAAGCATTTTCACCACCTACAGTCATCATCACATTTTTAAGGTAATCTTATGATGCTGCAAATTATGTTTTCAAAGTTTGAGTAAAAAACCTTGTCTATCCTTGATAACAGTTTTTTAAAAGTGGGAGAAAAAACTGTGATTTTTTTTCTGGGAAGGAACTAGGTCTTTTTTTTTTATGACAAACACCAAAGCAAAGTTTGAGATGAACTGAAAAATTCACCCCATGTGCTAGAATCTACCCAAGGGGAACTTGTTTTGTAATTCAGAAGGTGGAGCTATATTTGTGGCTAAAGAGGCTTACAGATTGAATGTCTGATAACTCAGTAAAATTGACCTTTGCGTATTTACTAAATTCCCTACAGAAGAATCTTAAGCATTCAGCCCTTACAAGATTTAGATAGCCACCATCAATATACATTAACCTCAGTGGTCCAAGAGATGCCAGCCCACCTTGTCTAATAGCAAATCCCATATTTCCCACTGTGGTCCCACTTAACGTCACTCTATGTCATCCTTGGATATGTAGGATATGTTGACAATCCAGGCCTAATTAGAAATGACCCCTAATTACTTCACAAAGAGTATCTTTCCCCAAAATGGTTTCTAAGGATCTCAGGGATGAAGCTGGAACTTTGTACAGACACTCGTAGCGTCACTGGTATGGTATGTATCTTCCCTATAGGACACAAAATGTGGGCAACTGCCCTCACTCTGGGGTGCTTTAAATGAGGAAGTTTCTTTGCAGTTCCTCCTAACAAGGGCAGCAAATTTGATGCCTGGGCTTATCCAGTAATGGATATTGGAATTTCTTCATGCCAAAATATACCTTTTTATTTTACTGAATGCTTCATCTTTTTAGATATTTTTATGTATGCCAGCTTCTAACTTGAGATATTTCAATCTGGGTGTCTCAAGGCAGAGTTTTACATGAGGCAGTATTATTACTCAGTGAAAGTTCTGTTGACTTGTTTTCATCCCCAATAATGCCTAATGAAGAAAATCTCCATGAAAATTAATAGATTGTAGCATGTACTGACTTTTCCTTTAATTTTGTAGGCTAGGGATTTGGAGTAAGCTGCATGAGCTAACATAGGCTTTCACAGTTAATGCTCACTCAGAATACCACCCCAAATCATCAGCGTTAGAGAGGAGTGGTCTCTTAATAACTAAATTGAAGCAAACTTGTTCCGTAAAGGGCCAAAGAGTAAATATCTGAGCCTTTGCATCTACTCAAGTATGTGGTTGTAGTGTGCAAACAGCCACAGACAAGAAGTAAATGAATGGGCATGACTGTGTTCCAATAAAACTTTACTTACAAAAACAAGTAGCAGGCTGGCCAGAGTTTACCAACCCCTGGATTAGAGTAAGAGGTGTTCCCTATTCCTAGTCACCTAAAAAATTATATCTTAATTATTTGAGAACTTTTTTTTTCTTTTTGTTGTTCTCAGTTATTAAAAAAACAAATGGTACACAAAGCACTTTTATATATTACATTTTTATTATCTTGGACTCGGGGGGACCTTACTGGTAAACCAAACTTGTACTCTATTAAAAGAAAGAAGGGCTACAAAGCAACTGTTCCAAAACTAAAGATTTTTTTTGATGTATATCACCTAACTTTTCACTAGTTTATAGATAATTTTATATCTTATAATCTCCGAGTTCATTTTACAACCTTATTTTAGAGATTATTATAAAAAGGTTAATGTTTTGTTATTTACTGATTTTTTTCTTTTTTTGTGGCTAAGATGGACATCTAGTCTACCAAGAGAATCACCTATGCATAGTGGACATGGTAGTTGCCCATTCAGTGCCTCCTATTAGAAATCACACACACACACACACACGAAACTGCACAGCCCACGGACGAAATAACCCTGCCCCATAGTTTAGGGAAGCAGATGTTCTTTACTCAGGAATGGCTACATATTGCACTTGGCATGAGCACCTGACCTAAGCATGGTTTATTTATAGACTGGTTTTTAATCTATAAGGTGGCTGGGATATATTAAGCTAAGCAAAGTAGTTCTATCTGAATTTTGGATCAGAAAATAAGGAGAGCATTATTCAATATGAGAAAAAGGGAGCAGATGAAGAGAAGAGCAGGAGGCTTGTCAAGGATTCATCCAAGTTTTCTTATTGGCAGAACTGTCATCACAGTTGCCCTCTCCTCTCTCTACCACCCCCCAAGTCCAGGGAAGACAGGCCAAACTTCCAATGCCAGCAATACTGGGAGCACTATTGAGAATGGTGTCTGCAGCAGTTGTGGCAGAGAGAGTTGTGTATTAGGCAGGGAGCAAGTTGATAGGAATGGTCTGGCAGATGGCTTAGAATCACACGGTGATTAAAAAAAAAAAGAACAAAAACCTGTACACGAATGTTCATAGCAGCATTATTAGCAATAGCAAAAAAACAAACGATTTAGATGTCCTTCAATGGGTGAATGGTTTAACGAAATGAATGGTTTAACGAACTGTGGTACATACATAGACTATTACTTAGAAAAAATACACATAAGAACTTACATGAATCTCTGGAGAACTGTGCTAAGTAAAAAAGCCAAACCTAAAAGAATACTGCATGATTTGACCTATGTAACATTTTTGAAATAAAAGTTAAAAAAAATGGAAAACAGATTAGCAGATGCCAGAGATTAAAGACAGTGGAAGGGGAAGGAGGTGGGTGTGGTTATAAAAGGCCAACATGAGGAATCCTTGTGGTGTTGGAATTGTTCAGTATCTCGGCTGTGCTCGTGGACATAGAAACTTAAACATTATAAAATTGTGTAGAACTAAATACACACAAATGAGTACAAGTAAAACTGGGGAAATCTGAATAAAGTTGGTGGATTTATCAGTGTCAATATCCTAGTTGTGATATTATAGTAGATGTTTGCAAAATGTTACCATTGTGGTAAACTGGGAAGAGGATCCAGGGGATTTCTCTCTATTACTTCTTATGACTGTATATGAATTCATAATTATATCAATAAAACTTTCAGTTAAAAAGTGAAGATGAAACAAAGATAATTTCATATGAAAAACAAATATAAAAAAGCAGATCAGCTTTTGGTTGGTTTTGTCTATAAATTCTCTACAAACGGTGCGCCCCCTTACTGCTTACACCCAGAGACCACTCCCACCACTCCCCATGATACGCCACTGGATAGAGACATGATAAAAGAGAAAAAGTGAGACACCAGAACAGTCAGCCTCTTAATCTGGAAAATTCTATGCTTTGATTTAATTAAATTTGAGCTCTGAAATGATTCATTGTAGCAAGGATAGAATACACTTAGATAAAAGAAGTATTAACTTTCCCTAAGGTATATCAGAGATACGGAAGAGGGCTAAATACTTCAGTAAGAGTCAGAGCACTTAAAAAATTTTTTTTTATTTCTACTTATTTTTTGGAGGGGTGAGGTAATTAGGTTTATTTATCTATTAATTTTTTAATGGCGGTCCTGGGAATTGAACCCAGGACCTCGTACATGCTAAGCATGCGCTCTACCACTGAACTATACCCTCCCCCCAGAGTGCTTTTTATATACTACATCTTATTTATCCATTTGTCAGTCAATGGACATTTGGATTATTTCTCATTTTTTACTATTACGAAAAATGCTACCATAAACATTCGTGAACAAGTTTCTATGTGGACACATGTTTTCATCTCTCGGGCATATGCCTAGGAAGGTGACTGCTGGGTCACATGGTATGAAAGGTGAGGTGACTACTGGATGCTGGTAAGCAATCAACAACGCCCACTCCCCTTCCAAGAAAGAAATGCTCTCTCACATAATTTTTGAAATATATTGCCATCTTGATCTAGTTCCTGTTTTCCCTCTTGGGATAGATATGGATATAAGAAATGCTTTACTTTCTCCTTAACTCTTGTATTAGTTTTATATTGCTGCTTAAAATTAGTGGCCTAAAACAACACGAATTTAGTCTCTTATAGTAAGGTCTGGAGGCCAAAAGTCCAAAATGGTCTTACTGGGCTAAACTTGAGGTTTCAGCAGGGCTGTGTTCCTTCTGGTGGCTCTAGCTTTCATCCATTTTCTTGCCTTTTCTAGCTTCTAGAGGCTACCTACACTTCTTGGTTAGTGGTTCCATCTTCAAAACCAGAAGTATAACAATTTCAAATCTCTCTCCTCCGTGACCTCTGCTTCTGTCATCTCCTTCTCAGACCCTGAGCCTCCTACCTGTATCTTTCCCTTATTATGACCCTCTGTGATTACACCGGGCCCACCCAGGATAAACTCCCCATCCCAAGATCTTTAACTTAATCACACCTGCAGAGCCCTTTTGCCATGTAACATATGTACACGTTCTGAGGATTAGGATGTGGATACCTTTGGGTGGTCATTATTATGTCTATAATCACATGACGCTGAATGTCAATGACTCGGTCTAAGTATCAGAAAAGCCATAAGGAATAGTGAGGACTGTGACATG